CTTTGCTTCCCAAGAGCAAATACCCTGGGAACGAGGTTGCCTCGTTCCCAGGCTCTTCCCTCTTGTGGAGGAAAGACCCTGGTCGGAGCTGGTCACGTGATCCATCGAAAATTGATAGCCTAAGACGGTGAGGGAAAAGTCTCATATTACATGTTTCCACTTCCGCACTTCGATTGCAAGGAGTGACCGTTCTGTACAATCATCTTTGAGAATCCTATATTCTTCAGAATACTTGCAAAATTTGGTTTCTGTTTGCTTTTAAATTATATAAGCATGCTAAACTGCAGATTCTTCTGGCAACAGATAAGTCAGGGAATCAAGCAATCTGATCGTATGCTTTGATTGAAATATTCAGTGCTCGTTTATTCTCTCGGTGTCATTTGGAAACGGTATAAACTTTGCATTGATTTATTTGTAAATTATTTATAGAGGTCTCAAAACTATTATTATTTCTATTAAAGCATAGCAATAAAGAAAATCAACATACTCTAGCAATATTTGCAGGCAGGCAAAACACATCAAGTGTCCACATTGAGTTTGCATGGGAATGCATAACAACAAGTTACAGATGGTGCAGATGAATTTCGTATCGATTTTTTTACGATCTTCATCCGCGATTCTTGTCCCTGGCATAATGGGAGGAAAAGCTTCAACTTCAACTACAAAAAGAAAAACACTTATCACATATTTACTGAGACCGAGGAAAACAGTGTGTAATATGCAATTCTTTAATAATTTTGAAAATTTCATAAATGAGATTAGTATAAATTTTGCATATCAAATGAGCTTTCGCGCGTTCTTATTGGCTAGTTGACTAGTAAATCTGACGCATTATTTACGACCTGACTAGTAAATAATACTTTTCAAAAAGAATGATTCCGTAATTCGGCAAATGTGCTTTCAAAATCGACGAAATTTTGAAAAAAATGAAAAAAGCACAAAATGTTGTATTTTATATTTTGAAAAAAAAATGAAAAAAGCACAAAATGTTGTATTTAACTTGAAAGGTAGGTTTCCTTTATATTTTACTGTGTCAAACATATTCATGGACAATTTAAAATTTGCTTGTGATGTTACTCTGAGTGTATATCCACACCGGGAGGCTTGAAAAATATTGCTGGCCACGGTGGGAATCGAACCTACGACCTTTGGAATACTAGCCCCATGCTCTGCCAACTGAGCTACGGGGTCAGGTCGGTTCGAGCATGTAATATTTCGGAACTGAGTCTAGTTCCTTCGATATCAGTATAATCTAATAA